TGTGTGTATATATGTATATATATACATACATATACATACATAGGTATGAATACGCTTATGTATACATACATACATATATATATATATATATATGTATGTATAGGCTTATTAAAATTGTCGCTGTATGTATCTGCATATAAACAAATAAGTCATTATATATATATATGTATGCGATTCTGGCGACCCGGGCCTGTGCCAAAAGATCGACCCCGGCCACCTCTTGGAGCTTCCCATCTTCCTGGCGGCTTTCGATTGAAACTTTGAGATCAGGCCAGTCCAGGAGTAGGGTTTATAAGCCTGAGGTATTTAGGGTTTAGGCCCGTTTAGGCTTGAGGGATTTAGGGTTCTTGGGGCTTTTCTGGTTTTCGGGGGTCCGGCTTGAGTTCTCAGATTCGGTTTTGGTGGAGCTGTTGCGGGCGCCATGAACACAACATGCCCCTGTGCAACACAACACACCACGACCGACATGACGAACCCGAAACGTCGTAAACCTTGGACAGTGGATCGGGACCGAATTCGCAGAACCAATCTTGTGTTGGATGGCTAGGGCTGGCAGGAGCGTCACCATCATGACTCGATATGCCATGCTGCTTGGGGATTCTAGTTGCCACAAATGTTTGATGATGATGATGATGATGTGACTAGCAGGACGACGAGACTTCATAATGCCATAATGATGATGATAATCATTGCTGACGATGACGATGACGGTGGCTGCTGGTGGCGATGATGATGACGAAGATGGTCGTAGTGTGACCGCATGGTTGCCAGCTGTCGGAAATTCCAAGCCTCTCAAGTTCTGAACGGCGTGATTTCGAAACCACACCACCAAGGAGCCGCACTACGACTTGAAGGCAAAATTATTCATGGTGACCATTTCCACCCAGAAGCACCCCAAAACCCAAATGCGCAGGGCAGTGTGGCGAGAGGGCGATGTATTTCAGCTCGGGAGCGCACATTTAGCATACTTTGCAATGAGATGAGTTCGGCGCACCCTGCGGTGTACATTGCTAACCAAACCGGCCGACTGAAACACGTCAAACAAAAAAACATAGTGTCGCCACACCGTTTGGGGAATGGCACGGGCGACCAACCACCGCGACGCTTACTCCCGACTGCCCCAGAACCACCAAACCCTAAACCCCAAACCCTCGGTCAAAAAACATCGAAACGCTGACCCGCACTCGCTCGGACTTTTGACCCTCGGTGCATTTCGAAAAGAGGCGGAAGAATCTAACACAGGGGCCTTACTGGGCATCTTATGACATGCCGTGGTTTGCCCTTCTTATAATAACGAAAAGAAAGAGCCCCTCAAACAGACGTTGGGAATTGTTTAGGCCCCATATGTTCCCAAGCAAAGGCAAAGCTCCTTCCAACGTGCAGCGTTCTGGGATGCGACGAGCACACCTCTTCATCTGTTTCAGGGCTTCGGGTTCCACTCAATCGCAAAACTAGAAGCCCGCCCCTAAACCCTAACCCTAAACCGCCTTTGCCCTATGCTGCACCCTAAAGACCCCCGGTACTACCTAAACCCTAAAACCTAAACCCCTAGAAACCCTAAACCCTAAACCCAGGTTCCCTTACCAAAAACTCCAATCCCTAGAAAAGAGGGACTGGTGCCCGACCCTGGAGCTGCCCCTTGTAGGCTTCAAGCTTCGAGATGTGGGAGTTAGGTGGGGGTTTCCGAACATTGGGGACCCTAATATAGTGCCCTAAATAATAGGATCCTTATTATACGGATCCCCAAATTAATAAGCTACCCTACTTTTCGGAAGCTCCCAGGTAAGGCATAGCACAGGACAGCACAGGACAGGACAGGACAGGACGACAGGACAGACAGGCACAGAGACAGACAAACATTCTGACTTTGACGCTTTGCGTAATTAGTCTGTGCTACAGTGACCATAGCCTGGCAATTGCGAAATAACATACATGTCGAGAAAACTAAGCAGGTCGAGGATTGATGTGACAGTCAAACTTCCGCTTCCTTGCCGAACGTTGTCTAAAGTCTAAAGAGTTGTTGAAGATGAGCGCGAGGATCCGGCTCGCACAATGGATGACACGATAAGCAACACCTCTGGGGCGGCTATACCCGAAAATGTACAAGCTACAACAATTGGTCAGACACACTCTCTTCGTAGCAACTGCACATGCAAACCTTTACTGAACCGTTTGATGGCAGCCTGACATGTTCGCAAGTCTTCTGCGAAAGTGTAGGCCTCGAAAGGCACATCATGATCATGCACCATTTGGTCGCAACCTATAAGAAGGTCGCCTCTTCTTGTTGGCAAGTTTGTGAACGGCACGAGCAAACACGGGCCCGTACGGACACGTTGACCACAACGTGATCGTCAATCAACGGGATGTGTCAGAAGCACCCCGATGATACGTCTGGAAGACAGACAGACAGACAGACAGACAGACAGACAGACAGACAGACAGACAGACAGACAGACAGACAGACAGACAGACAGTCGGACAGACAGACAGACAGACAGACAGACAGACAGACAGACAGACAGACAGACAGTCGGACAGACAGACAGACGACAAGCACGCGCACACACACACAGAGACACCCACACTTGCACTCGCCTCGCACACGCACGCACACACGAATGCACAAACAAACACGGGGACTGACTTCATGCTGAACCCCACCTCGTGGAGACCAGCTGAACTTATAGCCGATGGGGTTGGTTCCAGCGACCTCACGCGAAACCCCCATCGTTTCAAGAACTGTGGGAAGGACTTCATGTGCTTCGTTGCGCAATCTTTTCTCAAACAAATTTCACTGCTTCTAAAGCGCATGCCCCCGCCAACATGACCAATGACGAAACAAGTCCCATGAACAAGCACAGATCCTCTCGACCCCCGAAACTGTTGACCCTCAACCTCCCAACGAAACAGGGGCTTTAGGTTTAGGGTTTAGGGGTTTCGGCCTAAGCGTTCAAAAAGGCGCATCGTAGGGTTTGGGCTTGCAGCCTCGACACCTCCGGAGCAGGCAGGCCGCCACAGAGAGATGCGAAACGCATGATTTCACTCCCAACGCTGCGGGCCGTGTCCTTGCGGTGGGGCTGTGGTCGATTTGGGATTTATATGACTTGGGCCTTCGAGTTTGCCAGGGCTCAGGGGTTTATGGGTTTGGGGGGCTCGTAGAGTTCGGAGCTTACAAAATTGGGCATGCTTTCGGGGTGAGGGTATCAGGGGGCTCCTAGTAGCAGCCAGCCCCCACAACGGGAGCGGATAGACCCCCGATTCCGTAAATGGCCAACCCACACCCAGTTTCGAAGGAGAATCTGGAGGAATCTCTGGACCATGAAACCCATGGGGGAAGCAAGCCGGAATGTGACCTGCGGGATCCGCAAGGACCCGCCTCAACCGCAACACCACCACAGCTCCAACGGTTCTACGCTTAACTTCGGGCTCTTAATTGGGGCTTAAGGGCTCCGAGTTCAGGGATAACGGCAGTTACAACACGGTTGAATACATGAAGGGCTACGGGCGCGGCAAAAATAGGAGACGCACGGAGGGCAAACAGTACATGCGCAAGGCAAGAGTAACTAATTAGTTTTGGGGCCCAGTATACTATACATATAATAAGGAACCCCCAAAATAGCATTGGTAATTACTTAAGCCCCTATATTACCTACTAGCGGTTTTTGAACTTCGCTAGTCGGATGGTGCAGCCTGATAACAGCCAAATCCGTGCCGGTGCCAGCAGGTTTTGCACAACTATAAATGGTGACTTGACGCTTGCAATAGATATGTGCCGAACCGCTTCTTTATCTTCAAACTGCTTAACCGTTATTTTCTCGGAAGCTTCAAGCAGCCACAGGCTCGATCATGCTCATGGCGCTGAGATGGTCAATACCCGGGTCGAGGCCCACCTGGCGCTTCAGAACCAGTGCTATTCATGCGGCTCCTCCTCCTCCTCCTCCCGATGCAGAAAGCACCACCACAACCCCAACACCAACGCCAACATCAACATCCACACTCAACCACATCACCATCACCATCATCATCATCGTCGTCGCCATCACCCTCGTCATCAACAAGAACACCCTCACCTGCTATTACTACTGCAGCTACGACCATTGCTACCACCACCACCACCACCACCACCACTTCTCCTCCTCCTGCTGTTGCAACTACAGTACTAGTGCTTGTACTACTACGACTACGACTACGACCACGACCACGACCACGACCACGACTACGATGACGACGACGACTACTACCCCTACTACTACCACTACTACTACTCTTACTACTGCTAC